CTTTCTCTCTCCTCCCCCTCTACCTAATTACTGGTACAGGAATTAATATGCACTGCAAGCTGACTCTGGGTGATGAGCTGCAGGGGGAAATCAGCTCTCCATCCTGCTCTGAGCATGCTCAAGGCCTCTGATTTTGTGCATGATGTTAATATTCAATCGTGCTTCAGGTTGAATATCAGTCTATTACTTCTGACTTGGTTTTTTTTTTCTTTTTGTGGGGAATCCTACAGCAAAAGTGTTTGGCTTGCAGGATGACATGAAGAGAGTAAAAGCAAGTTTGAACTTTCCCTGATCTCATCTGGAAGGCTTTGGCAACAGTGCTTATAAATGGTTTGAATGAACCAGTACACTCCCAACTAGCTGCACAGTGCATCTATTTTTAAGTGAGCCCCTCAGACCTAAGTACATTTTCTACTGCACATACTTAATCCTAAGTATTCAGACGGTGATATCGGAATTAAATCAAACCCAATTATTTTCCAGCCAAGCAAAGACTCTAGACCTTAATGAGGGCTATATTCAAGTCTCAAGTTTCAAACGCCATCCTTTTTTTGCTGAAAACTGGTCTAAAAATAATCGTTACCATTTGCAACCCAGCTTTAATCAAACATGGGAGAAAGGGATTGCTGAGAATTTGCCAAGCAAATTCTACTTCAGATCAAAACCCACGATAGAAGCCATTCGCCCTAAAGGTTAGGGTTTTGGAAGCCGTGTGTGTGAAAACAGAAGCTTGTACTAACAACTGCTTTGCAACCCTAACTACAGCAGGTTCCTACTGTACTTAGATGTAATAACCAGTGTGCAATGCTGAATCTTATTAGAATAGCTGAAAGCCCTTTTTACATTTTGATTTTTTAGAGCTTGAAACTAACTTTTTCAGTCTAGTTCAAATAGATCAGTGGGCATAGGGATGAACTATTCCAGGAAGTTGATCTCCAATCTATCCAACGCATTTTGTGGACCCTTCAAATTTACATGCAGACAATAAAGACTGCATCATCAGTGACACAGACATGCCAAAACAGGAGCCATCAGCTGCCAATCTGCAGCCTTCTGTATCAAAATCACAGCAGACGTTAGAGCTGGCCGGAAAATTCTGGTGACAAATGGAAATTGAATTTTTTGAAAATGTTTTAAATGTTTTCCCATTTCTAGCAGATGTATTTTCATGCTGCTGAGCTCACCCTCACTCAGAGTGGATGCTGATGGCTACCCCAGTATGACAATTTTGAGGGATGTTCTAATTTAGTTCTTTCCTTGCCTGCACACTACTTACCCAAAGATGGCTAGTTTAGTTGACTTTGGGAACATCCGGCCAACAAAGTTCCAGCATGAGGAAAAGGCAGAGAGAGAGAGAAAAAGAGCTAGAACTGCCTTCATGATTCTCAAAGGGGCACTAATCCCTTTATAAACAGGTTCATCCTGGAATACTCACCACTTTATTTCTCTATATTTTTGGTGTGCTACGGTCTCCCGAAGTCTCGCTGTTAACATTTCTCCCTTTAGAACAATAATAAGATTACTTTGCACTTCATCCAAGTTCTCAAGGCATCTTGCAATGGTGGAAGAGTATCATCATCCAATTTTGCCTCAGAAGAACACCTGCCAATATGCCACAAGGCCAGGTGAAAAGAAGGGCAAGATGTTGATGACCGGTCTGAGTCTATAAGATTCTCTCCCAAGTGACCTCATGTACACATTTTCCACTAGCGGTTGCACAATGATGACTCCAATTAACTGCACTTACCAAGAGATAACACAATAGTATTAGCACACGTTACTGTGTAATTACCCCTGATTCCAGGGGAGTCTCCATGAACATAGTGATTTTGCTGTTACTGTGTAATCACATCCCGTATTTCACTGTAACTATGCAATTAAGCTGTCACAACTCTAGCTGCAGATGCAAGAGCAAAAGAGAGCATCCATCTTTTAAAAGAGCACTATTGCTTGTGGTTCATATTGCGGCAGCACCTATGGGCCTCAATCCCATTGAGGCTCCACTGTGTTAGGTGCCGGACACGGGAAGCTAATATCCATGTCTGGAGGATGTTACAATCTAATGTGAAACAAGCCACAATTTCCATATCTAACCAACACTAGAAGGAGAGTGGGTGAGGGAAGATGAGACAAATGGTGATAAGAGCACCTGGTTACAGGCGAGCTCTGTGTACAACATGATTGTTCTGTAGAAAGGGTAAAGTTACCAGCCTGCCAAGTAACAAGGACATCTAGCTGTATTCACCTCATGCGGAGATATGATAAATTTCGTAACTCGGAAAGATTTCTCATAGCCCTGTTGAAATGAACAGAGCCATCAGTGTCTATGGGAGCTTTATGGAGATTGTTGGACTAGGGTTCCAGGCACTGGACTGCACATCGCGAAGTCACGGGTGGGTTGGGAGAAGGGCACTCAGGGTTAACAAACTGGCACCCGCTGACTTTTTTCACTCAAAATGGAAACTGTAGATACCTTTGTGTGCCAACATTGTATTCAAAGGCAGATTGTGGCTGGCCTGTGTGTCGGTGCCCATCGAGTGAGGAGCAGGGTGTAATGCCCCCCTCTCCAGTGCAGGGGCCAGCCACAGGTGCATTTCCTCTGTTCTGCTACGCACAGGTACTACTCCCTCTAATAGTGCCTCCAGGGCACTAGCCACCCAAAGGGCCTGTGAAATCAGAGCCATGCTCACAGAGCTGGCCAACCATGGAGGAGAGCACATGCTGCATCCCTTAAAAGGAGGCACCATGGGCATTCACCTCCCACGGAAGAGCTCCAGGCATCATCATGCCAAAGTAGACAAAATGTCTCCCTTGTTCCCATCATGACTTCACCCTCCCACTATTGAGGGCTCTGGCTAAAATGCATAATCTGGTCGTAAGTAGCCATTGCTTTGAGTTACACTTGATGCGCACACCAGGACTGGAGGTGATCTTACAGACAGCAAGGAAGAAAACAATATACGGTAGTTTCATCCCTTCGTATTTTATTTTCCCATGGCCAGGCCAATCCTAGCTTGGCAAGGAGGTAAAAGACTGGGAAACCAACCTGATTCACCTTTATGTCCCTATAGAGCACAGCCCATTCTGGAACTAGAGATGCCACCATGACATGCTTCCCAGAACCTAACAGTGGGGTCTGTGACATCTTGTCTGGAACTCCCCCAAAGGCTGCACACTGCATTTTTCTCCATTGCCTCCAGCAAGTGTTTTAATTTTGTGGCCAGCCAGCAAAGTACCTTGCTTCTGTGTACAGATTGTCAATACCACCTCAGTCATCGGTGGAATAGTGGTGGGAATCACAGTTACCTGCCTATCAAAAACACTTTAATTAAAGACCATCTTCCACTGTGATTGTTCTTCACACTTCACCCCTCACAGGGTGCTCTCCCGGCAACAGCCAGTGTGTTGCTTGCCCTGGGTTGTTTTATTTCCTAAACTCCCAGATGTCCGTTTCCCTGATTGTATTTGTGGTCTGCAGCCCCCAAAGGTGATGCATTGCTTCCATTCCTCCCTGGCTCTGTAGGGCCACAAAAGCGAGATGGGAGTCTGGAGCATAATTTGTTGCCAGATGTTTCTTTCCACCCATTTAGGATGGCAAAATAGAGAGGTGAGATATTCAGGCCATTATAAACATGATTGTTTCTGCTGTCCATCTCAGTCTTTCCTCTCTGTATCCCATCATCCTTGGTATCTATAGCCTGGGAACACAATTTGCCTTAAGTCGGGAGGAAGTGATTACCTTCTGCAGTTGAATGGACCCTCCATCACTGAACTGTGCGGAGAGGGCAGTGCAGAATGGTCAACCTCATTTGAAATTCCCTTTTATGATCTTCTTTAATTCACTGCCCATCACATGCTTACCACGTGCTGATTCTTTCCATCCTGTCCCTTTGCTATCCCTCTCCTTGTTGGCTGTAGGGTGACCAGACAGCAAGTGTGAAAAATCGGGACAGGGTGCGGGGTAATAGGAGCCTATATAAGAAAAAGACCCAAAAATTGGGACTGTCCTTATAAAATTGGGACATCTGGTCACCCTAGTTGTCTGGGGTTCTATGAGAGAAGATGCGATAGTGATGTGATATTGTCTTAATGTCACCACATTCGGGGTGGTCAAGCAGTGGGGGGCACAAGGAGGCACAATGTTTCCCAGAGGCACGACCTGTCCTGGGGCAAATTCCCAGCTCTAGGCCAGATTATGCTGGGCTCTTATCGCAGAGCAGGTTAGGAACTTTCCCCATACTTGTCTGGCCTACAAAAGGGCCAGGCAGAATTCCAGCCTCTGTGCTTTGGGGCGGGGCCATTTCTCTGCTCTCCTCTCATATGTACATGCTGCACGCGGGAGGGGAGAGCGGTGGGATAAGCTGCACCTCGCGAAGTAGTGTAGTAGGGAAGACACTGTCTCTGTGTGCCTGGGACCTGTGGGGGCACTTGGGTGAATGCTTCCTAATGGTGCCTCTGAGATGGCACTCCTCCACCTTGCCCCTTGTTATGGCCAGACCTCAACGGCACAGTTAAGCCATCAGTATTTGCACTCATTTTCAAACCTCATAGTCCCGATTTCATTCTCACAGGGTCCCATTCTGTGATCCTTGCTCTGCAAAGTAGTCCCTTTGATTTTGTGGGCTCTGCCTGAGAAGGATGGTACTAATCAACACGAGTGAGGGGATCAATAACTTGTAAGGACCACACCTGCTTCTTATTTGAGAGGTAGCCCAAGAACATTTGTATCATTATGATGAGTAATATAGCTTGTTCACTCCTGCATAGATTGGAAAGGTCACACGTCACTGCATTTTGCAAAGTGTTTTTTTTCTTTTTTAATTATAGTTTTATGCTTGATTTGCCTGGAGTACACAGTGTGTTGTGCAACAGGCTTCCCAAATTAGTGCTGGGGGAAAAAAAATAGGAGAGGCAGGCAGTACCCTCATGTGTCAATTAAAGCTGAGCAACATCGGAGTTAACAGTTAAAAATAACATGAATGACTTTGTTCTCTCTGTAGGTGACCTGTCTCCACGATTTCTTTGGGGATGATGATGTGTTTATTGCCTGTGGTCCGGAAAAATTCCGCTATGCACAGGATGACTTTTCTCTGGATGAAAACGGTAATATCTCACGCACTGATCTCTACTCTGTCTACTTGGGCTTTTTTTTCTCCACCCCACCCCTTTGATTGAGGTTGCTTGTATTTTGTTGCTTTTTTTTTTTAGCACAAGTCATTAACATCCTTTTGGCTTATTGGACAGTCAGTGAATATTGTAATCTGATGGACATTGACTGATTTGCCACAAGGCAGAATAGGTGGACTCATTAAAGGCACTAATATTTTATACTCATTGAAAAGCAACATAATCTGTTAGCAAATGTCCTCCTAGTTATATGCATATGGTTGATTGTAGTATCAGTTACTCTATCCCCGAGTAATAAAAACAGACTCACAAACTGATCTCCACTCTTGTGTTTGAAAGATGTATATGTGTGTGTATGAAATGGGAGCTAAGGCAGTTACGAGCTAAGGTTCCTCCACTGTCTACTGTGGTTGGTTGTAAACAGGAGTAAGAGTTGAAAAGGGGTGAACATTTGAGAGCCTGCTATCCCTTTTGGGGGTGATCTATCATCACGGTTTGTCTCCAGTCCAACTGCAGTGCCACATTTATAGTGCTGTAGGTATCAATGATAAACTAAGATATGAAATCTATGATATCAAGGAACATACACATCTTAATTGTAGGATTTACCCTAGCGGTCATAGATGCTTGCAGTTATCCAGTGATTGCACACCTGTAGGACCAAATTCTCTGCTCCTGTCAATTAGTGCAACTCCACTGACTTCCGTGGAGTTTTGTCCATTTATACGGGCAGAACATTTGGTCCCTAGACTTCAGCTTGATGCTTCCCAAGACGCCTGAGGTATTCAGGTATCCTGTGTAGCCTTAGTTGTGAGCTATTATATGCTACAAATGCAACAAAGCATTAGCATCCAAACAGTGCTTTGCTTTCAATATCAGCGTGAGAGTCAAGTGAGATCTGCTCTTCTTGAAATTCGGGAGTTCACGCAGCTCTGAGGGATCTCCATACTATAAAACAGCTTGGATGAAATCCTAGCAGAACAACTTGAAAGGAGGCCGAGCGTTGTGGTCCGATGCCCCTGGATTCTGAACACGTTTCCAGCTTGGATGTCTTTGAACAAAAATAAGCCTGGCCTGATTTTCAGAGGCACTGAGCTGCAGGTGCTCAGCAGACAGTGTTCCTTTGCTCTCACCATCTTCCCATTCTCCACCAGCATCCCTCTCTGTCATAAATCACACAACACAGGGATCCAGGATCAGTGTGTTTCCTGACATCTTGCAAATGAATGTCTTTCATTACAATCTCTTTTGTCACGGGCATGTCTGCCTCTCCAGCTGGAAGATGTGCACTCAGATTGCTGGCCATTAGGTCCTGTCTGATGAGCCATCAAGAGACAAGATGAGAAGTCGTACAAGGAAAGGTGTATGTCATCTTTTCCCTCCAAAATGCCAGTCACAAGTTCATCCGTCGAGTTCCTGTTGCTCTTCCAGAATTGCCGTGTCTCTTGTGAACCCACTGATCTTGGCAGCAGCATCTTAGGCTGCAAGAGCCAGTCTTATAGCAAGCTAATTAAAAACTCTGGATGAAATTCGAGCTCTATTGAAGACAATGGGAGTTCTGCCATTGACTTCAGTGGGGTCAGGATTTCATCCTCTCTCCATGTATGTATCTGTCTAGATACCCAGACACACAATGGTTGCCTTTAAAATGTCAATATTTGCCAATGGTTATCACACAGTGGCATATAAGATCCCCCGTTATTTCCATTATCAATTATGGGGAAATACTGTTGTCTTTTAATGGCAACCCCTTCCATCCCTTCCTTCGTTTATGTATATATCAACTCAGCTATAACTATGGAGCCATGATCAGTGCGTCTTTAATGCCATCTATAAGATACCATCTTAATATTCTTTTAAAAACATTAAACCTTCCTATGTCTAATTTACAGGTTTTGCATATTATGCATCTTATGGCATTAAACAACAGAGCGAACAGGTTCATTGCTAATTCTAATTAGCCTTGTGTGGTATCCCTGGAGCACAGTGCAAAGTACTGGCATAATTTCCTCTTTTTATCATATTGCATGACCCAAAAGCAAACTTTCCAGCAAACTGTCTGGAAGAAAGAAAATGAGGCTGGCTGCCTCATTTCAAGCCAGGGGGAAAATTTAGGGCGATTACATTTTCGTAGATATTCTGATATAGAAATAAATAAATAATGTACATTTAGGTCAGACAACTTGTTTTCGGTTGACCAATCATTCATCTTCTGTGTGCTGCCTTATTTCATTTCCATTAGGGAATCCAGTCAAGGGGATTTTAAATCCAAACGAATGCTGGCTGAGCTGAGTTTGCCCCATGAAACACGGGCTGTATGTGGGAGATTTAAATTGGAGAACCACCGTAATGTCCATTTTTAAGAGTATCCATGTAGAAGATCTAGGTCTAAGGACACAGGGCTGAACTAATCAGCATTTAACAAAGGGGAAATCCTCTTCTTATCTTCCCCCATTTGGACGAAATTAATAACTTTAAGAAGTGGAGAAGTACACTTCCAGGTACCTCTCAGTTCAAGTAACTGCTGAGTTCAAGATTTGGAATGCTTGAAATCCTAGTTCCAGTGAAGGTTTGTAGCATTTCTATGCCTCTTTGGAGCCTTCGTAAATGGTGTTTACATTTTCCTCTGTACCCAGCGCATTTATTTTTTAAGAAAACACAGTTGGACTGTAATCTGCTTGTGAGTGTAAGAGCATGGGCAGAGTGCCCAGGAGACAGGACTTCATTTTTGTACATCTGCATAATGGTGCAGCTCCCAAAAGACTGCAGCTTGGAGAAGTCACAGAAGAGGGTTTGTTCAGGCTGGGTGAAATTCTCTCTGGTGCAGATGGTCTATGCACCCACTTAAAGCCTTTAATGCAGGGCCATAAGTGAGGCTTAAGTGGTTCAAAGTAACAGCGGTGTTAGTCTGTATCCGCAAAAAGAACAGGAGTACTTGTGGCACCTTGTTAGTCTCTAAGGTGCCACAAGTACTCCTGTTCTTTTTAAGTGGTTCAGTGAGGCTTGTGCTGGTTTTCTGCACCTGAGTAAATTTCACTCATTGTCCATAGCTGTTACACATGGTCTGGTTAGTGTGGGCTGCATTTTATCACCTTTTACCCTGGTCTCAGCTGGCTAGGAGCCATATTAATTGTTCTTTATTCGGACTTTTCCCACGGTGCACTCTGACCATTGTGCTACAGAGATTAGTTAATGGACCTGATTCATCACTTAGGGTGAGCCAGTGGAAACCAGCACAGCCGAGGCTCTAGGGCCATGCCAGTGGTAAGTTTGCCTGCAGTAAGAGCGTAGAAGTGCAAACAGGGGCGGCTCCAGGCACCAACACAGCAAGCGCGTGCCTGGGGCGGCAAGCCCCGGGGGGAGGCCTGCCGGTTGCTGTGAGGGCGGCAGGCAGGCGGCTTTCAGCAGCAATTCGGTGGTGGGGATGCCGATGGCACGGCACTGGCGGACCTCCCACAGGCATGCCGCCGAATCCGCATGACCAGCGGACCGCCCACAAGCGCGCCACCGAAAGCCGCCTGCCTGCCGAGCTTGGGGCGGCAAAAAAACATAGAGCCGCCCCTGAGAGCAATCCCCTTGCAACCCCACTCTGCCAGGGGAATGAAACTGACCTAGGCAGGCACTGAATCAGCACCTCTGACAAGCGAGCTCTGCTGGATTTTAACGCTGCCCTCCCCCAGGGCGAATCTGATAGCTGCGTGGGAATGCCAGCTGCCTCCTGTACTCAGAGGTGTTGAATCTTCCCCAGTGTTTGTAAAGCAAATTGAAAATATGAAGTGCTGTGTGGTCTTGTATTTCTTTCATTAGATTTACAATATTATACACAGGCTGTGCCCTCGGTGCTTTCCACAGGGTAAAGGGCCCCTAGCAATTAAAGTCAATAAGAGAACTAAATATGCTTGTCATTTATTTTATTAGAGTGCCGTGTAATGAAAGGGAATCCTCCGACCACTCCAGGCAGCAAGTCGTCCCCAACCCCTCAGAAGAGCTCAGCAAAGAGTCCAGCCCCCATGCGCCGGAGCAAGTCTCCAGCTGATTCAGGTAACCATCAAGATGGTGAGTGATTGTTTTCCGGTGGATGAATATTGATTCCATCCACACAAGGAAACAAATGCCATGTATCTTTCGATACAGTGACCTCAGGCATTTCCTGTTATTTTTATTTATTTGCATTGTGATAATGTCTAAAGATTCCAATTAAGATCAGGGCTGCATTATTGTAGCCCCTGTACAAACACGCAGTAAGATACAGCTCCTGCTCCAAACAGCTTACAGTCTTGAATAGACAAGACAATGAAGGTGAGAGAAAGGGAATATTATTTATTCCCATTTTACAGATGGGGAACTGAGGCATAGCGAGATCCAATTTTGTCAGAGAAGGTGTTTTTTTTCTCTTTGATGTACTTTGATTTAAAATAACCTCTGTGCAATGTGAGTGTTAATAATTATGTAGTCTGAAAATATGTCTGTCTAATCCCTATTTAAGAAAACTAAGAACCTTGCCCATTGCAGAAGCCAGCCATAGACTCCTTAAAATGATACAGAGGCACCTGCCCAGAGCTGGAAGTAAATAAAATGGAAATCTTCATTTGCTACAGTAGCTTTTCATATTTCAGTAGTGTGGGATATGCCTCTATCCCTCCAGGATAGAAACTGGCAGGTTGTCTAGCAACCGCCCATGTAGCGCACCTGTGATAGGGGTATATATGTACCTGGTGCAATTTGAAGCCAAACCTGAACATTACATCTCTGATAACTGATACTTCCTATAAATCATATTATACGAACAGTGGGCCTAGGGTGTTAATATTATCCATCAGAATACTTCCTCCAGGAGATGCAGGGAATGGACTCTAATTAAAGTGGCAGACCCCCCTCACAGGCAGGTCCCAAGGTGCCTGTCCAGTCTAAATAGGGTTACCCAAAATGCCAGAGGGGAGCACAAAATCTTTCTACCCTCATAGCATACATGACCAGAATCATCATTCCTTCTCCCAGCCCCTTTATGCCTCGTAATTCAATGTGTGTGACTGGCCCAAAGAAAGCCGACCACTGCATTGCATTGGAAATATCTTAGGCTTTTTGGAAATAAAGCTTTTAATAACTAGTTTTTAATGATATTTTCCACAAAAAGCAGTTCATTTATTTTATTATGATGCTCTTAAAATACAGAAGAATACTAAGTTAAATTAAGGGACTAGTGTCAAAATTGTATGGTTTGAAAATTGTTCTGTCTCTAAAAGGTGATCCCATATTATATTCCTTTCCTTCCTGATTCGTCATGTGCTTTTCTTAAAACCAGTTTTGGTGTAGCCCATACCCTTGCTACAATCCCAAACACATACTATATTTGTCTAAGTATTTGTCAGTGGACAAACTCTGACTTCATTGGGCTTTGGATCAGGCCCTGAATGCATTATGGGATATTACTTAAGCCTTCCTCTAAAGGATCAGGTATTAATCTCTTCCAGAACCAGAACTGTAGACTATATAGACAAACAGTCCAACATGACGTAGCAACTTCTGTATTGCTGATATCCTACTTGCTGAGCAACTCAGTATGGACAAAGTGGTGAATCATGGCTTTGCTGATGGGTCACACAGGGTACATGCAATAGTTTGTTTGCATTATATAAATCAGTAAGTAGGACATTTAGGACTGCTTATCATTTCTGGATATGATAGTAAATGGTCTGGAGGTAAGGCCAACAATGAAAGACAACTTTCAAGTAGATCCCTCTAATTCCTCTCAACAGTGACCCTTTAACATTTTCATGTCCTCAATATGGAAAGAAATGGTTGCCTGTTCTGTTTAATAAGAAAAAAAACCAGCTGAACTCTTTGGTGCTGTTAATGTAATCAGTAGATCCTTTGTAGTTTTGTCAGGATGGAGAGAAAAAGGAACACCGTCTTGCCTTCCTGTTCCATTGAGTTTGTAATAAAGGCTCTGGCTTTACAGTGCTGACTAAGTCAGACTTCACGCACACAGTACATGAGCAAGAACACTCTATTGCATAAACAGTCCATAGGCTCAGCTGGATCTTGGTGGTACCAAATTACCAGAGACAAGCAAGATGAGCAAAAAACGATGCCGAATAAGGTCCTTATTAATAAAAGATTTTGACCCCTTTTCATGCAGTTCTCACATAGTTTATCTGAGTAAAATGCAGAATGAATCTTTGCTTCAAGTAAGTTAATATTTCTGCAGTTCATTAGACCTCCTATCCCTACTTGTCAAACTTGTTTCCTCTCTCATTCTTTCCATTATTCTCTTATTGGAAGTTGGAATTTCCCAGTGTCTAATCTATTCTGTTCTATTATTCATATGTTCTTATACCCATGCTCATCATCACAGTATCTGAGCACCAGTATGATGTCCTCTGACATAGATGTAGACCTTAATGCTGCCCAAGCCCTAATCATTACACTGATTTTATGGTGATGAGCATGGTATAAGAACCTGTATAGAATAGAACATATTTCCTTGTGTTTATAGTCTTTATTATGCAATTTCTCTGCAAGACCAGATGGGAAAATTACACGTTATTCATCATCAACAAAAATCAGAATGTACACAGCAGTGGATTTGCCTCTGGCCATCATTCAAGAGTGTTTACCTGAGCCCACACCCTCATACATACAGACAATGTAAATCTTAAGGCAAATTCTGCCTTCAGTACTGTGGCTCATTTGTCAACAAGGAAATTAATGGTGTTTACAGATATTGGACAAAAGGAATAGGTTGCTTATACAGTACTGGTAGAGAGAACTGCCCCAGCACAGCCTTCTTGTGCTGATGGTCCTGATGATGCAGCTTTGATAGCCTGAAAGTGTTGTCCACTTGCCCTACTGTTGGTTCCTAGAAACACTTTTGATCTGTCAGTGTTGACATATATAAAATATTCCCCACATTAAGGATTTGGAAGCATTTGTTACACATGAAGCAGTGGTGGTACACTGGATAATTCATAGGTATGGGAATCTGGAGATCTGGGTTCTATTCCTGTCTGTGACAGTGACTTAGTTTGTGACCTTGGGCACATCACTTAACCTTTCCCCTTCTTTTGGGGGTAGTGATACTTCTGATCCTTGCACAGTGCTCTGTAATCCGCAGATGAAAGATTCACAGAAAAAGCTTTGAGATGGTTTTTATCTCTGTATAATCGGAGAGCAGTATAGACAAAAAAACTAAGCGGGTCTCACAAGCTCAGAAAAGTCCCAGCGCTGGAATGACTGTGTGTGGCATCCTTCATGTTCAAAGGTATCTTCTCCTTCTGTCCCCTGGCCCATCATTTTTGTGCCTTCCTGCTGGGGTAACTGATTGACTGGCCTGGAATCTCTAGCTCTACCTCATTATCTTCCCTCAAACTCAAGGAGAGAGAACCAAGCTGAAGTTAAGCCCTTATTTGTCATTGACCTAAGACAACCCTGCAGTCTGTCCCATATTCACTATGGTCATGTATCCATTGGTATGCAGTAAATTGTCAGATTATGCAGGTGCATTTGGACCTACGGCATTCCTTCCTGGAGCACCACCAAACACTGGATGCATATTTGCTATCTTGGCTCCAGTCACTGCGGTTAGAACTGCTTGCGGATGGCTGCATGTTAATAGTTACGAAAATATAAAAAGGCGGGTATATAAGGCTGTCTCTGAGTAACCTAATTATAGATGCTGTCAGCTTGACGTGACTTGGAATGTACTGATTATTCTGCTCTGCTTTGGGAGTTTTTATTATAGCAACCCTTGCAGAGTCTCACCCAACTATGTACACGATCAGATCTCATGCCCCAACCCCCCGCCCCCAAATTAACAATGATAAAAAAAATCCTTCAATTGAACACTTGTCATTAGAAACAAGCATCAGGCCTGTGCATGGAAGGGCCATGACCCCGATCGTGGCCGCTTGCTGCTGCAACGATCCAGGCTAGCTGGTCTTAGAAGTAGAACAGGAATTGCTGGCATGTTGTTGCCTTCTGCCAGAGGAAGTTTCTCTTCAGAAAACTCTGTCTCCTTCAGTCTAGACACACCCTGGATGCACCATGAAAAACTCAGTTCCCTCCAAAATGAGGGCTCTATCTAGAGCAGGGGTCAGCAACCTTTCAGAAGTGGTATGCTGAGTCTTCATTTATTCACTCTAATTTAAGTTTTTGGGTGCCAGTCATACATTTTAACGTTTTTAGAAGGTCTCTTTCTATAAGTCTATAATATATAACTAAACTATTGTTGTATGTAAAGTAAATAAGGTTTTTAAAATGTTTAAGATGCTTCATTTAAAATTACATTAAAATGCAGAGCCCCCCGGACCGGTGGCCAGGACCCAGGCAGAGTGAGTGCCACTGAAAATCAGCTCGCGTGCCAGAGGTTGCCTACCCCTGATATAGAGGCATCCAAATCCCACCTCCTCAATGTATCCTCCAACAATGACTTAGCTAATCTATAGGAAGAGGCCAAACTATTTTCTTAGCACACTCCTGCTCTCCCTTTCTTTACCAGACATATTCAATCTTGTTTTCCCATTAACTGTAACAATAGCTACCTGAGCTGTCTTGGTTCCAGGCCACTTCTTATTCATTGTAATGAGACTGTCTATCGCTTCAATGTTTTCATCCTTTTGCAATATCTCTGAGATGTTCAATCTTTTTGTGTGTGTAGTCACTGATGCCAGGAACTAGAACTAGAACTAACATTACAATAAGGAATCACCTCAAAATATTCAGTAGGTAACCAGCCATATTCCTTATGAACCAAGCTTTTCCATGAACCAGGCTAGGACTATAACAGCGTTTAAAAGAGAACTGGATAAATTCATGGTGGTTAAGTTCATTAATGGCTATTAGCCAGGATGGGTAAGGAATGGTGTCCCTAGCCTCTGTTTGTCAGAGGATGGAGATGGATGGCAGGAGAGAGATCACTTGATCATTGCCTGTTGGTCCACTTCCTCTGGGGCATCTAGCATTGGCCACTGTCGGTAGACAGGATACTGGGCTAGATGATCCTTTGATCTGAGCCAGTACAGCCGTTCTTATGTTCTTATGTTCCTTTCCTTCTCCAG